TTGGGGCGAGCGAGGCTGCATGTGGGCCTCCTGGGGCTGGGGCTGACGTCTTTCTAGAACTCCGGGCATCTGTTTCCGAAGCTCAAGTCTGCTGATCCCTCTGCAGGGACTCGAGCTCCTGGAAACAAACCCCTTTCTTCCCCCTGACACCTTGAGACGTGGCGTTCGACCCGGGAAACGCGTGGTTGGGACGGGCTCGGGGTCCTGGCCCTCTCGAGCCCATCCGGGGGCAGAAGGAAGCGGGCGTTGGGACGGATGGTTCCCAGGCACGGGTTCTGGCTGCTGAGGGGACCCCCTGCGAGCCTCTCGAGTAACTTCTTAGAAAAGTCGGAGGCCACCTGCCCGTGTCAAGGGTTTTGTGGTTTGCGAGCTCTGTCTGTCTGTCTGTCTGTCTTTGAGACCTACCTGTTCCCGAGGTCATGAGAGGTGGCAGTGTTGTCAGAACCGGGTCCCACGGGGGCCCCGTCTTTTTTTTTTAATTTATCTTTATTGTTGAGAGTAATACAGAGGTTCCCCTTTCTCCCATTGACCCCTCCGCCCCCTCCCATCCCTCCCCAGGCCTTCCCCACACTACAGTCTGTGTCCATGGATTATGCACATAAGTTCTTTGGTTAATCTCTTCCCATCCCTCCCCCCTTCGCTCTGAGCTCCCTCCGTCTGCTCCGTGCTTCCAAGTGTCAGGATCGATGTTGTTTGTCAGTTTATTTTGTTCATTAGACTCCACATATAACCGAGATCATGGGATATTGGACTTTCTCTGCCTGGTTATTTCACTCAGCATAAGACTCTCTCCGGGTCCCTCTCTGCTGTTCTAAAGGGTAACAGCTCCTTTTTCACAGCTGCGTAGTATTCCACCGTGTAGACGTACCACCGCTTTTTTATCCGCTCATGTACGGATGGGCCCTTGGGCTGTTTCCAGGTCTTAACTATTGTAAATAATGATCCTATGAACACAAGGGTGCATATATTTCGAGCTTCTTAGGATATATTCCTAGAAGCGGGGTCACTGGGTCAAAAGGCAGCTCCATTTTTAATGTTTTGAGGAAACGCCACCCTGTTTTCCATAGTGGCTGCCCCCGTCTGCATTCCCATGGGGCACAGCCTGAGGACAGCATCCCCTGCCCTCCTGTCGTTCATCCATGGGCCTCAGACAACAGCCAGGACCCTGGACCCATGGCGGCGAGACCTGGGGTCCCAGAGATCCGCAGGGCGCCCCTCTGAGGCCATATCCCAGCGGTCCCGATGGGAGGACTCTGGCTTCAGGAAAGATTTCCATTTGAGGCAGCATTTTGTTTCTGACTCGGCGTAGCCACGAGACGTGTCCGTCCAGCTCGCATTTGGGGACACCACGGGGGCTGGTGCCGAACTCAGAAAGACGGGACGTTGAGGGCCTGTGGTTCTTTCGAGGCTGAGAACTATTGGGACAAAGGCCGCCCTGCAAACCACACAGACCAAGGGCGTCTTTAATCTTCGCTGAGTCCACAGCGAGTCTCACGCGCCAGCACTCACACGACCTGACCGCACGCTTCATGGGCTGTGGGGAGCAGAGACCAGGGTGACGGGCAGCTAAGAGTGCGGTTTGTGGTTGTTTGGACCCTGCTGTTTAACTGAATGTGGAACTGCCTGGCAGGTGGGGAAGACCCAGAAGACCACCTGTGTGGGGGGCGCTGTGGGACCCCCACGGGCTGCCTGCAGGTGCTCCGGGCCCTCTCCCGGCCTGCACCTGCCTTCTTTATGGACTGGAGGGTTTCAGAGAGGGGATGAGGCATTTGACCCCGGCTTTCACCCTGTCTGCGGTTTTGCTGATACCAGATGCAGCTTGCAGGGAGCTCTGGGGCACGTCTATGCCCGAACATGCAAAAGGACCCAGGGCACCCCAATTCCTCGGCTTCTCTCAGCCCGACCTTCACACTGAAAGTGGGGTACCCCAGGGCCAGGTTACCTTGTATGTCTGGCTTCTGTCACTGAGCATCGTGTGTTCAAGGTCCATCCATGTTGGAGCCTCACCCTTTTTCATGGCTGTGTAATATTCCACCATGCGGATGGGCCTCCTTTCATTATCCCAAGAGATGACTTTTAGCCTTTTGTCCAGATAGCCTCAGACTAAAATGCCTGCCGGTCAGTAACTGACACAAGGCAGGAAAATGTATTCCAACCATTTCTTTTTAAATTATTATTAAAATTTAAAAAAAATCCTTACCCAAGGATAATTTTTCCATTAGTTTTTCAGAGAGAGTGGAAGGAGAAGAGAGAGAGTACTCGTTCCAACTGGGGCTGGGAATCAAACCTGCAACCCAGGTACATGTCCTTGATCGGGAATCGAACCTGAGACCGTTCGGTGCTGCTCTAACCACTGAGCCACACCAGCCAGGGCCAACATTAAACTGTTTTTGAGATGGGAGGCAGTTTTACAACCGACCTTGCCTTCTCACAGAAAGTGGGAGATAGGGGCTCCGAGTCCCTTAATATTTGCATTTCAAAGGCTTTGTCCCCAGATCCTAGAGAAAGATAGCCCTGGGTCCTAAATCAGTCCTAAAGCATACTCAGTATTGAAAAGACTGACGTGTAATTTTAAAGAAATGGAGAAAGCTTTCTAAAGTAAGGGATCTAAGGAAAGGGAGGGAGTTGTCTTTCCCATTATTTTTATTTTATTTTAATTTTTCAATTACACTTGACATTCAACATCACTTTGTGTTCGTTTCAGGTGTATGTACAGCGTGGGGGCTAGATATTTATATAACTTACAAAGTGAGCCCCCGATATTTCCAGTACTCGCCTGGCATCATCTGCAGTAATTTCAATATTATTAACTATATTCCCTGAGCTGTGCTTTACATCCCTGCGACTGTTCTGTGACCACCAAGTTGTACGTCTCAATCCCATCTCCTTTTTCACCCAGGCCCCCCCCTACCCTCTCCCCTCTGGCAACCCTCAGCCTGTTCTTTGTATCTGTGAGTCTGTTTCTGTTTTGTTTGTTGATTTGTTTTGTTTTCTAGACGCCACACATAAATGAAATCATGTGATATTTGTCTTTCTCTGACTTTTTCCAATTCTGAGTATATAGCCAAAGAAACCCAAAACACGAATTAAAAAAAAAAGAATTGAAGCATTAGTTACGGTAGCCACGCTATGAAAACAACCTAAGCGCCCATCAATAGATGAGCGGATAAAGAAGATGTGGTATGTATATTCAATGGAATATTACTAGGCCATGAAAAAGAATGGAATCTCACCGTTTGTGACAACCTGGATGGACCTAGAGGGCATTACGCTGGATGAAATAAGTCTCTCCCATGATTTTTAGCAGAGGGAATTTAGTGCCTTATTTTAAATTTTGATCGGCCCTGACAAGGCACAGGGCAGGGGTAAGGGCCAAAGAGGTGAGTGAAAGTTTCCTCTGTTTAAATAAAGGCTCCTGAGCCCTCCTAAATGAGTTGCTAATCTTGAACTTGCTTCACAGTCTAATGGGGACCAGAAGGGCACTGTGACATGTTATATAGAATTGGTGGAAAGCCGTCCACGCCTTCCTTCTAGTCGTTCTCAGAGAATTCCTGTGCACACCCCAGCGGGGAGGATCTGAATCCCACCTGTGCCCTAGACTCCCAAGGNTGCCTTCCTTTTAGTCGTTCTCAGAGAATTCCTGTGCACACCCCAGCGGGGAGGGTCTGAATCCCACCTGTGCCCTAGACTCCCAAGGAAGGGATAAGTCCATCANAAAAAAAAAAAAAAAAAAAGAACAGAGACATGGTGACCTTTGTGTCCTTTGGCTTCTACTCATCTGGGTGATTTGTCCCCTGTCCCTTGCTGCTGACTCGCTGTGCGGGGGAGGCATTGAACCACAAATGGGCTGCTTGGCTTGGTCAACTAGGAATTTTCCATGGAGGGCAGTCACAAGGTCTGACATGATATTCGTTGAAGACTGAGCTGCAAATCTCCTGACCGTGTGACAAAACACAAGTTCTTCTTCTAAAGGTCAGACATTTCCAACCGTGAGAATATCCACCCCGATATCACTCCATTTCAGGAAGCTGTGGGTTGAGCTCTGGGACTTCTGATCTGTGGTCGATCTTGTCAGGAACGATGCCCAGCATAGAACAGAAATAGTCCTTATACATGGGCACATGGAAAGAATTCCTTCAGAACTCAAAAGTATTTACCTATCCATCCATCTATACATCCATCTGCACTTTCAACCATCAATTCATCCATCCATCCGTCCATCCATCCATCCATCCATCCATCCATCCATCCATCCATCCATCCACCCACCCATCCATATATCCATCCATCCATCCGTCCATCCATCCATCCATCTGCACTTTCAACCATCCATCCATCCATCCATCCATCCATCCATCCGTCCGTCCGTCCGTCCGTCCGTCCGTCCGTCCGTCCGTCCGTCCATCTATCCATCCAACCATCTTTCCTTCTATCTATCTATCTATCTATCTATCTATCTATCTATCTATCTATCTATCTATCTATCTATCATCATCTATCTCATCTATCTATCTTCATCATCATCACCATCATCTATCTATCTTCTATCATCTATCATCATCTACCTACCTCCCCACCCTCTATCTATCTTTATATCTCCACTTCTAATCCAATACCACATGGTTTACTCTAGTTTCCACATTTCCAAATTTGTGACTCTGTTCTCTGACAGGTGGAAACCTGCCTCTCATTACCCACAATATCATTGCACATTTGCTCAACCAAAATACACCCATTTAACTACTTTCCAAGTGACCAACCAAGACCTTTGCAGAAACCAAACCCACTAAAGCCTGAGTAACTTTTAAAGGACTGAAGGACTCACTTGTCCTTGAGCTTCATCTCCAGTCATCACATGTGGTGTTCTGCGTAAGACAGTGAGTTTGGTAGACAGGGGACAGTGTCCCACACCCCTCTTTGTGCCCACAAGTGGTGGTGTCATGGGACACACCGTTGACTCTCCGTATCTGCTCGTCAGAATAATTGCTGGTCTTGCGAACATGAGAAGAGACACAGTTGAAATGTTGCCGCTGACTATTGTCTCTCGGGGTAATGGGTCTGACCAACCTTTATCGATCCCGCAGCTCTTACTGAGATGATTAATGACCGGCTTGTTTGAGAAAAATCTCGGCTTCCTCTGTCTCTTTAGAGCACTGTATCGTTTAAAAATATATGTTTTATTGATTTTAGAGAGAGAGGAAGGAAGAGAAAGAGAGAGAGAGACAATGATGAGAGAGCGACATCAGTTAGCTGCCTCCTGCACGCCCCCTACTGGGGACCAAGCCCTGACTGGGAATCAAACCAGAGACCAATCAGTGCACGGACGATGCTGGACCAACTGAGCCACTCCAGCCAGAGCAGCACTATATCATCCTTTTTCCTAATTCTCAGCTGAGAATATGCTTTTTTTCATTGATTCTAAGAGAGAAACATCGACCAGGTTCCTCCTGTGGGGATCGAACCCACAACCTGGCTATGTGGGAATCGAACCCATGACCCTTCCGTGCATGGGACAATATTCCAACCACGGAGCCACGCCAGCCAGGGCCACTGTATCTTTTTTTTTACGACCGGAGTGCTGACATCACCCTGCGAACATCAAGGTCTTTCCCGCAGAGCCTCAACGTCCACTGTATTTGTCTCTTTTTACCCAGGAGGCACGTTGCCCTTTCAGATCATCAACTTTAATTTTGAAACTGTGCGGGTGACGTGGAACGCAAGCGAACACGCGGGGGATAACTTGACTTTCTTCTACGGGTAAGCGCCCTCCCGGGGGGAAAAAAAAAAAAAAAACACGCCCCGCGCTACAATATCTCTTCTTCTGAGACATCAGCCATTGGGAGGGCCGGGGAGGAAAGATTTGAATAATCGAGATGTGTAAGTGTGAATTGTGTGTGTGTTTTGTGTTCACCGCAACCGCAACCACAGTTCCCCAAAAAACCTAACCGAGTGATGACTGAGTCATACTCGAAACTACCTAGATTCTCGTCTAGATATTCGCGATGTTCTCTGTTCATCCAAGGTCACCTTCAACATCCTAGCAGCTCCCAGGAGCTTTGCTGACTTGAAATATTACCTGCTTTGCATACAGAAGGTTACACTTATCACACCAGGGGACCAAGGGCCACTTTCCAAAAATATATCTTTCTGTTATAGGCTTATTGACCTTGCCTTCTGCACACAAAGATACGAGCACACATGTGGGTGGAAGCGTTTTTGTCCCCCCCCCCCAATGCATTTAGTCTCAATTCTATCGAAATTGGTGTGTGACCTGTGGTTGCTTCTCTGCAGTTTGATAGCCTCCGAGATTAACAGAAAAGTCTAAAAGGGAGCGAAACTTGAAGATGAATTGATTTGGAAGATCAGACTCATGGGAAAAAAAAAACATAATGGGCTAGATTTTCCAGCTGGTGGTAGAGATGAGTCACTTGAGTTTTTTTTGAGCATGAGGGTTTTTTTTGTGTTTTTTTTTTTTTTTTCATTTATTACAGGAGTAAATTTTGATCTAGGTTTGAGGTCTTAAGGTTGAAGCATAAAGTGGTCTCAAGCTGGGTTCTTTTTTAAAAAACGTTTTTATCGATTGCAGAGACAGGAAGGAGAGGGAGAGAGAGAGAGAGAAACATCAATGGTCAGAGTCATTGATTTACGGCCTCCTGCCCGCCTCCTAATGGGGATCGAGCCCACAACCCGGGCATGTGCCCCAACCAGGAATTGAACCAGTGACCTCCTGGTTCGTGGGTCAACATTCGACCCCTGAGCCACGCTGGTTGGGCTCAGGCTGGGTTCTAGGCTTCTAATATCGCAGGGAAGCTCAGAAAGACACCCCATCTTTGTACATCCCTATGAAAGTGTCTCTCAAGCCTGAGGATTGGTGACTCTGCAGGTCCAGTTGTAGCTGTATTCGTTCCTGCCCTAGTTCTGCAAGACCAGACGTCTGAGATCCAGGGGACCCAGGGCCATGCACCCTCCAGAGGCTTCAGGGAGGGTCCTTCCTGCCTCTTCCAGCTCCTGGGGCTGCAGGCGGCTGGTGGCCGCCTCCCTCCCGTCTCCACGTGGCTTCATCTCTGTGTCTGTGTCTCCGCTTCTGTCTCTTACAAGGACCCTGCCCTTGGATGTCGGGCCCCCCTGACCCAGGACGACCTCCTCTCACATCCCTCCACATAAGGCCCCATTCGCAGCTTTCTGGGATTAGCACTTGGGCACGCACGCATCTGGATTGTTACCCCCCAACCCACTCCAGCAGCTACTCAAAGGGGTTTAGCCACGTGAACGAGGGATTCTGTTGGGCCAGGTCTTGCTGTAGCTGTCCAGGGGGGGTTGTTGGTGCGAATGAAGAAGGGCCCCGATCTGAGCCCGTGGCANGTCGTTGGTGCGAATGAAGAAGGGACCCGATCTGAGCCCGTGGCAGGGAGGCTGAGCCAAGAAACGGGCCCGTAGACACGTCAAGGCGGCTAAAGGGTTCCCTTTTTTAACCGCAGATTCCGCAGCGAGGAACACAGCCAGTGCCGCAACTATATTCTTCAGGAAGGTCGCACGGTGGGGTGTCTCCTCGAGGCAGAAGGAGATAAAATCCTGTGGTTTTCCATCAGGAACGGGACCCAAAGTCTTCTCTTGAAGAGTTTATGGATCAGTGACTATCGTAAGTGCCCAGGGGAGACAGCATTGCCCTTTCTCCTCTAGAGTCCAGCGCCCCATGTCCACCCCAATGCAGAAGACCCCAGTCCCCAGAACCTTCCATCTCCATGCACTCAAGAGACAGAGATGCATCCACCCTGAGGGGGAGACCAGAGGACTCTGCAGGTTGTGACTGAACAGAATGAGCCAAAGAGGCTTCGGTGCATTTGCCCCCAAACACCAGGAGAGAGACACCCCCTCAAGGCCTCAATCCCGCCCCACTGATTTTCCTTAAGTGCCCCGAGGTCCTGTCGTTCACCTTGGGTTAGAAAATATCGCAGAAATGTAGGAGCCCTCTCTCCAAAATTTGTAGTCTTCATTCTCTATTTCTGTGAGATCGCGGTGTTTTTTAAAATATGTTTTTATCGATTTGAGAGAGAGAGAGGGGAAGGGAGGGGAAGAGAGAGAGAGAAATATGGTTGAGAAACATCCGTTGGCTGCCTCCTGCACGCCCCCTGCTGGAGACTGAGCCCCCAAACGCCCAACATGTGCCCCGAGTGGGAATTGAACCGGCGACCTCTTGGCGCTCAATCCACTGAGCCGCACTGGCCAGGAGTGTTTTGTGTTTTTAGGGATGGGTGTCAAAGGTCCGTCTCAGAATCCGTTGAGACCTACGGACGCCCTACTGATAAAATCCCTCGTCGACGCCGCACGAGCTTCCCGAGGCTGTCGTAACAAATTCCCCGAAACTGGGCGGCTGAAAGTCAACGTTTGTAGTCTCGCTGCCCAGGAGGCCGGGAATCCAAACGCGAGGTGTCCACGGGGCTGGTTCCTACTGCAGGCTCTGAGCGGAAATCTGTCCCATGCCTCAGCGATAGCTTCTGGGGGCTTCTGGAAACACTCAGCATTCCTCAGCTTATAGATGCATCACCCCGATCTCTGCCTGTGTCTGCCCACGACCTACGCTATGCGTCTCTTTTCTTCTTATAACACCACTCAGGTTGGTTTAGAGCCCACCTTACGTCAGTACAACCTCACCTTGTCTTAAATAGCCGCACCTGTGATGATCTTAGTTTTTTAAAACTTATCTGTGCTGTTGAAAGTATTACCGATGCCCCCCTTTATTTTTCCCATGGACCTCCCCACCAGCCCCAGGCCTTCCCCGCAGTATTGTCTGTGTCCATGGGTTATGCACAGATGCATATAAGTTCTTTGGTTAATCTCTGCCCATCCCTTTCCCTCTGAGATCCCTCAGTCTGTTCCATATTCCATGTCTCTGCATCTATCTTTTTGTCAGTTTATAATGTTTATTAGATTCCACATATGAGTGAGATCATGGGGATACTTGTCTTTCTCTGCCTGGCTTATTTCACTCAGCATAATCCTCTCCAGGTCCCTCTATGCTGTCCCGAAGGGTAAGAGCTCCTTTTTCACAGCTGCATAGTATTCCACGTGTGTAAAGGATCGTCCTCTGATGTGGGTTGCCTACTTAAGGAGACCCTACTTAAGGGATCCTTTTTCACAGCTGCATAGTATTCCACGGTGTAGATGTACCACAGGTTTTTTATCCACTTATCTACTTGGGCTGTTTCCAGGTCTTTGCTATTGTAAACGTGATGATCCTGTTTTGAAATGCCATCCCAGTTTGAGGTACTAGGGGTTAGGGCATCAACCTGTGTTTTTTGAGGGGGCATAATTCATAGTATAAAGTACACCCAGAATTTTTCATGCCGTTTCAAGAAGCTCCTTCCAGGACCCAACGATAGCTCTTCGGAGCTCAGGTTAAAATCTCTATTATAGCCCGGTCGGCGTGGCTCAGTGGTTGAGCATCGACCTCGGAATCAGGAGATCACGGTTCAATTCCGGGCGTGTGCCCAGGTTTCAGGCTGGACCCCCAGTAGGGGGTGCCCAGGAGGCAACTGATCAGTGACTCTCATCATTGATGTTTCCCTCTCTCTGTCCCTCTCCCTTCTATTATAAATGGACTAAGGACAAGGGAACCCCAAATTCCCATAAGGCATTAAAGGAAGAATCAACCCTGGCAGAAGGAAATGATTCTGAGCAAACTTACCCCTGTCACTGTGGAGACGTGGGATGCCCGTCTTTGTAGAGGCTACGGTCACTGTGTTTTCTCTCTTTTCTCAGTGAAGCCCAACGCCCCGAAAGATCTGAACTTCTCGTGGCATCAGGAAGCGATGACAGTGACATGTTCCAATCTGCCCTACAGGGGCCTCTTGTATGAAGTTCAGCACAAAAGCGCTTTTGACACAACGTGGCAGGTGAGTGGGGTGGGAGATTCTCGGGGCTATTGAGACAAAACATCCCCAAGATGCTAACTCTGAGGACACGTGAGAAAGAGAGAAAGAGAGAGAGAGAGGCAGTGATATTAAGATTTATTTAAAGGATTTGGTCTGTGGTTATAGGCCAGCAGGCTAGAAACTGAGGGAGGGTTCAAGGTCATGGTCTTTAGGCCCAATTCCTCTTTCTCTGAGAAGTTCTCACGTCACACCTTCAACTGATTAGGTGAGGCCCACCCACATGAAGGAGTGATGTAAATGCAACTGATTAGGGATGTTAATTACATCTACAAAAAAATTACCTTCCCAGCAGCATCTGGAGTGGCGTTTGAGCAAATAACTAGACGCCCGGTCTGCACCCAGTAGAATAGCATAGCTGCTCATCAAAGGAATGGAAATTAGAGCCACAGTCGGCACAGGGGATTTGCCTAAACAGCAGGCAAAAAAAATAAAATAAAATAATAATAACACGTGAGGCTATTCAATGGCACTCAGCATCAATAAACTCGGAGGGCTTGTCTGTGGTCTGACTTCTGATCCCTGTTTTAGACACTAAAAAAAAAAAAAAAAAAAAATCAAAATGTGGTTGAGTTTTTACATAAAAAGATGTGTCCTGGAGAATTATTTAAAATAAATACAGCCCGGGCTGATGTGGCTCAGTGGTTAGAGTGTCGGCCTGCACACCGAAGGGTCTCGGGTTTGATTCCCAGCCAAGGGCACGTACCTGGGTTGCAAGTTGGATCCCCGGCCTCCCGGTTGGGACGCGTGTGGGAGGCAACCCATCGATGTGTCTCTCTCCCATCCATGTGTCTCTCTGTCTCTTTCACTCTCTCTGAAAAGCAATGGAAAAAATAACCTCAGCTGAGAATAAAAAATAATAATAATAATAAGAGGAATTACGGGTCACCTCTCAGTGATTCTTCGTGAGCATCGGAGGCGGTGTTTGCTGTAAAGGGTTTGTTCCTGTTTGGAGGGGAGCACGGAGGTGCTGACCCATCTGTTTGGGGTTTTTTTTTTTTTTTGCTGTTGTTTTGAGGCCACAGATCTAGGCAGAAAGAGAAACTCACACAAAATTCCCCAAGAGAAGGAAACTTGAGTTTCAGGCAAGAAGACAAAAAGCCCAGGTCAGGTCACGCATCCTCCTGTTTGCTTTCCTCCCTCCAGTCTGACGTGAGAGACACGTGCAACATTACGATCAGCGGCCTGGATGGTGACAAATGTTACTTCTTCCGGGCCAGAGTGATGACCACGGAGTCCAGCTATGGCCCCGAAGCCCACCCCAGCGACTGGTCCGAGGTGACACACCGTCAGAAGGGTGAGCTGCGAGGTAATGCTCCTTACGCGGTGGCCCGACGCCATCCAGGGCCTGCAGTCTGGCTCTGCTGGTGGGCGGGAGGGGGCTCCTGAAATCACACGTGACCTCATTCCTCGTCCAGGGGTCGACTTGAAGGCCATGCCTCCACTTGGGTTTCTCTCCAGCCAGTCTTTTCAGTGGGGCTAATTTTTATTTTTTACTTCTTTTGACTTAGCGACACTAATAACAAGAACCGTTTATGGATGGTTGTTGATATAGGTATAGGTGGGTAAGTAGTTATATAGAGAAATAGATAAATGATAGGATTTGTTAAATACATGATAGATGATTGATGGATGGGTGGATGCATGAATGGGTGGATAGCTAGATGATAGATATATGATAAATATATAGATTGATAATAGATGATTTATGAATAGGTGGATAGATAAATGATGTATAAATGTATGGATAGTTGAGATTAGATAGATAGATAGATAGATAGATAGATAGATAGATAGATAGACAGATAGATGGATAGATAGATATAGGTGACAGAGACAGGTAGATAGATGGATGATAGATGGATTAATAGACACATGTTGGATAGATGGATGAATGATGGGTGGATGGATGGATGGATGGATGGATGGATGGATGGATGGATGGGTGGATGGGTGGTTGGATAGATAGGAGATAGATGATGATGATAGATAGATAGATTAGATAGATAGATATAGATAGATAGATAGATGATGATAGATAGATAGATAGATAGATAGATAGATAGATAGATAGATAGATGATAGATAGATAGATGATAGATAGAAGTAGGTGACAGACAGGCAGGTAGATAGATGGATGATAGATGGATTAATAGACAGATATTGGATAGATGGATGAATGATGGGTGGATGGATGGATAGATAGGAGATAGATGATCTAGATAGATAGATATAGATAGATAGATAGATAGATAGATAGATAGATAGATAGATAGATATAGAAATAGATGATAAATGGACAGGTAGATGGATGATAGATGGATTAATAGATGATGGATAGATCGATGGGTGGATGGATGGACGATGGATGGATGGTGGATGGATGGACGATGGATGGACGATGGATGGATGATGGATGGATGATGGATGGATGGATGGATGGATGGATGGATGATGGGTGGATGATGGATGGATGGATGGATGGATGGATGGATGGATGGATGGAAGGATNTGGATGGATGGATGGATGGATGGATGGATGATGGATGGATGGACGATGGATGGATGATGGATGGATGGATGGATGGGTGGACAGATAGATGTTGGATAGATGGATGGTTGGATGGATGATGGATGGATGGATGGATGGATGGATGGATGGATGGATGATGGATGGATGATGGATGGACGATGGATGGATAGATGGATGGATGGATGGATGGATGGACGGTGGATGGATAGATAGATGGATGGTTGGATGGATGACTGACTGGTGACAGCGAAAAGCCAGCTTTGACATCCTCAATGCTCGTACCTGTGGTTACACTACCTGCCTGGTGTGTTCTATGCAGAGACACCTTCTCTCTTTCCAACTTAAATCAAGATTTGCTGACACACTGACATTTATACGGGGGGGGGGG